GCACGCAGCCAACTCGAGTTCAATTCCCAGCATTCCATATGGTCCCCCGAGCACCACCAAGAGTAATTCCTGAGTGCAGAGCCAGGAGTAACCCCTGTGCATTACCAGGTATGACCCAAAAAGCAAAAAAAAAAAAAAAAAACACCCTGCTTTGGGCAGAGAGCAAGGACTCAGGCTGAGCACACACACAGGGGCTAGACCTCAGCCTGGACCCACCAGCATTAGCAGGAGCAAGCCCAGAGCACCAGGACAGGTGTGGCCACCAGTACAGCTTGGGTGTGTCCCATTTCCCCACCCCCCCAAAGAAAGAAAAGTCTGCTCAACCCTGGCTTCAAACCACGGAGTGAGGGGTGATCTGTTATGCAACAGAAGCTCACTAACGCAGGTCTCCACCACCTCTGTGGGTAACACCGGACTGGTGACCATGCTGAGCCAAAAACCTGGGGACTCACCCTTGGGGAGCCAGGGGCTTTGATCTGCCACGTTCCTCTCACCCTACTTTCCCAGGACAGGACTTCAAAGGAGAAAGTGTCTAAAGCCAAACCACAGCTACCAAGCCTGGCTCTCACTTTTCCTTTCTAAGAATTGGAGGAAGTGGCCGTTAATCACATGGAAATGACTGACAGTGACTCGCATCTGACAATGACTCGCATTTGATCCTGGCTTCCATCAGACCCCACCTCAGGGATTTTATGTGAAAAGGACACCAGGGCAAGTCACCACACCGAGCAAGGCACCCCGGACCCCGGACACTGCCTACCTTCTGCCCTCCCACCACACTGGCCCAGCGAAGCCTCCCTCCCCCTTTCTCGCCCTTGTCCTATCCCGGCTGCCTAGAGCGCCCTCGACTCAACTTCCCAGCTTCTCCTTCCAGGGCCAGCTTCAAAGTCACCTCCTCCTGAAAGCCCTCTCTGACTTTCCAGTGGATGTCCTGGCTTTTTTTTTTTTTTCCTGAAATTTCCCAGGTGGCCATTTGGAACCCTTAGCTGACCCTGTCTCCATCCCAGACCAGACCCAGAGAAGCTGCGATTCAATAGCTCACTGAGAAGCTTTCTCCTTGGAGACCTGGCCACCCCTGACTTTCTCTCCCGGGTCCCACCACAAGGCCAGCAAGCCACTCAGAAACTGTGTGCCGAGTGTCAGAATAAAAAATTAGACAAGAACGTATCTATTCCTCAGAAAACATGTTCCCGCACTCCACTGTGTATTCCCACAAAACAGAATGTGTTGGTCCGAGCATGTATTTAAAATGGGGGACACGGATATTATGACGCATCTTTGCCTTTCTCAGGTTGGGTGGAAACAACATTTAATTTAATTATTAGAAAAGAAACAAGACTTCAGCAAAAACATGCCTGGGTGAGTCCTGTTTGACCGCAGAGGAGAACTGGCGAGATGCTGTCTTTTGTCATCAAGATTCTCTACACAGATGATCTTAGAGAATAATCAAGCTGCCGAAGTTCCCTGTTCTATCCTGAGGTTCCGGCACTGGCTGCCTCTCACTAGGATGGTACTGCAGTGGGCCCCTCATTCAGACCCACCCCCTGCACAGCTGCTTCCTGCCCCGGCTTGGTGGCATTCCTTCCTGGCCCAAAGCCCCCACCACGACCAGGACTGTGAGAACAAACCCTGTCCCACCTTACTCCCGTCACCTCCATCCCCAAGAGACACACCGCAAGAAAGCTCTGGTTTCCCACAGCACCCCCATGTCAAGGTGTGTCTTGCACACATGCGTGTACACACACACACACACACACACACACACCACACACACACACAGAGCACTGCCACATTCAAGGCTCCTGCAGGCTGCACTCACCTCATGTGCTGCACTGAAATCTCTCATCTATTTCCAGCTCCAAGCCACCTCACCAGTGCCCCCCAAGACAAAACCAAGGGGGAAAGCAAAGATGAAGTGAGCAGGTGCCTCAGGTCCTCTGGGAGGCCAGGAACCTGAGATGATGAGCATCTGAGGAGGTCCCGGCCCTCCAGGCCCACCCCCGTGGGGTCAGATCTCCCAGCACCAAACTAGTGCTGGTGAAAGAAGCCCCACTCAGAGCGCGTCCTTCCTTCCAGAAGGGGTGCTCTGGCTAGAACCAGCGGCAGGGGCTGGCTGCAGCAGGGCTGTGCAGGGAGAGGAAGAGGAGGCCTGGGTGTGCCGTGGCTCCATGCAGGCCTGCTGCTGTTCCACGCACAGGGCACAACCCCCGGGGGTGCTTCTCCACCCTCACCAGAACTGCTGAGAGAAGGCTGAGGGTGAGCAGGGTTTTCCTGCCGTCCTGGTGGGGAGCAGAAGGCAGGCCCTCGGAGCCCAGGGCCAGGTCAGCAGTGGACCTGGCCACGCAGAGGCTGGCTGGCTGGACTAATGTGAAAACCAGGCCTCCTTCTGGCTGCCCAGCCAGGAACTGGGGTTGGGGGTGGGCCCCTGGACTATCCGGCACTCCCACTTTGAGGGGGAGGGCAGGAATGAAAACAGCTGGGGTCTGGGCTGCCCAAAGGGGTCTGTCCTGGCTGAGTGAATGGTGCTCCAGGGGGAGCCCAGAACCTGTGGAGGAGAGAGATGGCCAGAGGAGAAGAGCCAGTTCCCAGGACCACCACAGGTGCTCTATGGCAGGCAGCACTGCCAAAGGCTGAATCCTGGCATCCTGCCTCCCCAGACTGGATCCCAGCACCCTGCCTGGATCCCAGCACCCTGCCTCCCCCAGACTGGATCCCAGCACCCTGCCGCCCCAGAATGGATCCTGGTACCATGCCTCCCCCAGAATGGATCCCTGCACCCTGCCTCCCCAGACTGGATCCTGGCACCCCACCTCCCTCCTCCACACTGGATCCTAGCACCCTGCCTCCCCAGCCTGGATCCCGGCACCCTGCCTCCCCCAGAATGGATCCCCACACTCTCCCTCCACACACTGGATCCCAGCACCTTGGTTCCCCCACACTGGATCTCTGCACTCTGCTTCTGCCAGCACCCCTTGACCACAGCACCATGCCCCTCCTGTGGGGGTAGTATGGAGTCCCCTCCTCTAGCTAAGAAAGAGGGGACATTCCCCACAGTACCCCCACCCCCACCCCACCCCCACCACGGGGACCAGAATAACTGTTCAGAAGACCCACGGGCTCACAGTCACAGCCTGGTAGGCAAAACACAACCCAGGAGAGCTTTCCAGGCGCCTCACAAACACTATCAGCTCTCATTCATAAACTTACAGGTGCTCTCTGACCCGCCCTGCTGCTTCCTGCCCAACCCTACCCAACCCTGACCCCACCTCCAGCAGCTTTGCCAGCAACTCCCTGAACAGCCAGGCTCTCCTCGCACAGGGCCAACCCTGCTGCCATCCCTCCCCCAAGGTTCTGCCCCACAGGGTTGGGAGGTGGTCCCTCTTCAGCCCACCCCTAACACAAAGGGCCCCCACCGTGCTCTTCCTGACTGTACCATGGGGAACCATGTCACTCCCCAAGAGGGCCCTCTAGCCCCCAGCAGGGAGGGCACAGAGAAGCCCCAGAGAAAAACCAGAAAGCCAAGGAGAGTCAGATCTTGGGATTCCTGCTATAAAAGAGATTATTCCACAGGGTCTGGGCTAGCCCTGATTAAGAAACCATGCTTGGTTCCGGAAAGTCTAAGAAGGGCTCTCGGGAGCCGGAGGGAGGAAGGGAGGAAGGCTTCAGCCCCCATACCCCAGGGGGCATCACAAGAACCAGGCCTTGGCCCCCTCGTTGGTGCCCTGGCAGCGGAGAGTTCCCTGGCCGGCCAGCACCCAGCCACACAGAACCTCCCCCTCTGCAGAACAAGCCCAAGCCCACACTTAGGAAAAACGACGCCCCCACCCTGACCCCCAGCAGCTCCAGCTGGCCACCTGGCTCCCAGCAACTGGTCCTGTGGGCGTGGCTGTCCAGAGCTTAGGAAGCCCAGGGTTCACAGCCCAGGTGAATTCTCAGGCGGGGACCCTGGAGGAGAGGAGCACCTCCAACACCTGTACAGCGCCATACCAGGAGGGCAGGCGGGAACATCCCCCCTGACTCCTCCTGTCTGGGAAGCAAAACACAATCCCTCTCCAAACACCAGCTGGTGGGTTTTGGTCCCCCTCCACTCTAGTCTGGATATCCAGCCCCCAAGACTGCTCAGGGTCCCCAACCCTGCTCTTCCCCCCATGAGCTTGGCTTGGCCAAAAGTTTCCCTCTGGGACATATAAGGTTGGGAGGAAGAACAGGAGGTCAGGCACTGAGAGCCAGAGCAGACCCCTGGGCAAAACAGGCCAAAAAAGACAGGCAGCGCGGGAGGAGAGCGAGGCTCGTTGGAAAGGGCGAGGTGAATGCAGGCCCAGGGTCCGGTGCGGCCAGTCAGGCTGCAGAGCAGGTGGGGAAGATTGAGCAGGAAAGCGGTCGCCGGCAGCCCCGGTTCCCGGAGAAGGGGGTGAGAGTGGGGTCAGGAAGGAAGGGCTGTGCGGGGGGGACAAGGAGCGGGACCGCGCGCTCTTGAGACTGCGCCCTGGTTCTAACCCGAAAGGCCCCTCACGCGGGGAGCCCCCGGGGGCAGCCCCAGCACGAGATGCCCCGGGGATTGGGAGTGGGGGCACAGCAGGGGCGTCCGTGGACTCGTTTCCGAGGAGCGCGTCGGGACCTGCCACCGGCGCGAGCGCCCTGCCAGCCCCGGACCTGGGGGGATCCCGCGCGCGGGGCGGGGGCGGCGCGTGGGGCCAAGACCCGGGCAGAAAGCTCTTTGAAGTCGCTGACAGGTCTGGGTGGGACCTGGCTCCGCGGCCGGCCGGAAGGGCGGGCGACCCGGCTCCTCCCGGGGCCGGGCGGGGTGGGGCCCCGACCCGCCGGGCACTGGGCAGCGGGTGCACGGGGCCGAGCGGGGCGGTGGGGCGCAGCGGCCGGAGGCGCACGGGAGGCCGACGAGGCCGGGAGAGTGAAGGCGAGGAGGCCGGCCCGCCCCCGCCCCCCGCGCCCCGGCACCCGGGAGGGAGCCAGGCGCGGCGCGCGGCCGGCGGGCGCCTTACCTTGTCGCTCTTCTTGCCGGCGCCGCTGTCCTCGGCGGCGGCGGCGGGCGCGCACTTGTTGAGCAGCTTCTTGGCCCCGCAGGTCGTGGGGCTCCAGGTGCGGCCGCCGCCCGCGCAGGCGGCCCCCGGCGGGTCCCCCGCGCCGCCCGCCGCGCTCTCCACTTTGATGAGCCGGTGCTTGGGCGAGATGTAGCGCACCTCGGCCGGCGTGGCGGGCCGGCGCTCGCTGCTGCTGCGGTAGAGGTGCGGGGAGCCCGAGGCCGAGGAGGCGGCGGCGGCGCCCGCGCCCGACGCGGCGCAGCAGCAGCCCGCGGCGCCCGACGCCGACGAGGCCGAGAAGGCGCGCTGGCCCCCGCCGGGCTCGGCGCCGCCGCCGCCGCAGTAGTCCAGGCGGCACATGGCGCGCAGCTTGCGCAGCGACGAGCCGGGCCCGTTGTAGGGGTCCTCGAAGTCGCGCTCCTTCTGCGCGCGGTAGGCGCGGATGAGGTCGCTCGTGCTGCCGCTGTCGTCGGGCAGCGAGCCCGAGGACGCCGAGAAGCAGGAGGCCCCGGCGGGGCCGCAGGACGCCGAGGAGGAGGAGGAGGCGGCGGCGGCGGCGGCGGCGGAGGGCGCCGCGGGCACGGCCTGGGGGGGCTGCGAGGGCCGCTCGCCCCGGCGCCGCTGCTCGCGGTAGTCCGGGCGCGGGGGCTGCGGGGGGCTCTTGGTCTTGCTGTTGCCCAAGCTGAAGTACTTGTTCAGCCACTTGGCCATGGCGAGAGGCCGCCTAGGGCCGCGGCGCGGGAGCCCAGGCCGCCGCCGCCGCCGCGGCCATCCGGGGGGCAGCGCCGCCGCCCAGCGTCCCGCGGGGGGCGTCCGTCCGGGGCGCCCGCTCCCGGCACCAAGTTCAAGTTCTCTCCGCCGCCTCCTGCCGGCCGCTCGCGGGCGCGGGCAGCTGCAGCGCCCCCCTCCGCCGCCGCCGCCGCCGCCGCGCGCCGCCCGGGCTTCGGATCTCGCGCCCCTCGCGGGCGCGTCTCATGGGATCCCGGGCCGGGGCACCCGCGCCGCGGACGCTCCTGCCCCGTCGGCGCCGCCGCCGCCGCCGCCGCCTGGGCCGGGATCCGCGGCCGCTGCGGGGAACTTGTCGGTGTCCTCGGCGGCGCCCCGCTGCTTCTTCCTCCGCCTCCTCCTCCTCCTCCTCTCCCTCCCGCTCCCCCTAGCCGAGAGCGCCGGGGCGACGCTCCCGGGCCCCTCGCCGCCAACGGGCAAGCGGGCGGAGGGAGCGACCGAGCCAGAGAGATCGGAGGAGGCAGCCGGCGCCTGCCCGCCCGAGCCCGCGCGCTCGTGCACGTCCCGGCCGCCGCCGCCGCCGCCTCCCGAAGCGCCGCGTGTGTGACACTCGGGCCGCCAGCGCCCGCCCCGCGCCGCGGCCCCGCCTCCCCGGCCGGCGCGCGCCCCGCCCCCGGGCCGCCCAGGCCCCGCCCCCGCCCCCGCAGGCACCGCCCCAGACGGCCCGCGCGCCCCGCCCCGGCCGCCCGCAGGCCACGCCCCCTGCCCACTCCCGGGCCGCCCGCAGGCCACGCCCCTGGGCATGCCCCAGACCGCCTCTCGCGCCCCGCCCCCTCAGGTCACGCCCCTCCCACCCGCAGGCCACGCCCAGATCGCCCCGCTGGCCACGCCCCTCCGCCGGTCGAGCTGCGGGACCAAGGCCTAAGCCCCGCCCTCCCAGTGCCCCCGACCCCCATCCCCGCCCTGCCGGCGCACCTCTGGGCTTCAGCCCGCCGCCACCTCCTGGGGCTGCCTTGGCGCCAGCCCCCCGGGTCGTGCCGCCGGGCGCCGGGGCTCCCTTGGCGCCCCCAGCCCGGCCCCATGTACGCCGCGGGCTGAGGTCAGACGCGTGCGCCCGGCCCTGGGACCTGTGCGCGCCAGCAGCGCCCTTGAGGGGGTGGCGCGGGGTGCTTTAAAGCGAGTCGGTTGATGGTGGGTCTGCGCGGTGGGGAAAGGCGGTGTCGAGACCCCTTCTTAGGGATAAGGTGCCCGGCCCCTTCTTAAAAGAGCCTCCGTGCCGCTTGTCCGCAGGAAATCTTGGTGCTAGTGCCGGGACTTGCGGTCGGGAGGACAGATGCGGCCGGGGTCGGCGGCTTCAATCAGGGGCTGAGAGCTGGAGGCCGGAGTGTTTGTTTGCTTCCCTTTTCACCCCAGGGAAGTCGTAGCTTTGTCCCAGGGCACTGCCAACTCGGGACGATAGAGCCGTGGGAACGATGAGTGCCAAGGGTTGAAGGAGCGCAGGCATGGCTCTGTCGGGAGAAATGGTCCAGGTTTAGAGCTTGGGGGTCCCCGCGGTTAACAGTATGACTCCAAGTCTCTTCTTGGTACCTCCTGTTGCTCTTTGGTTATGAACCAAATAAGGTCCGTGTACAGCCCCTGTGCGTTCTCTCGCTCTCGCTCTCCTCTCTCGCTCTCTTTCTCCCCTCCGTGTGTGTGAGAGAGAGAGAGAATTTTTCCTGGGGTGCACACTCAGCACACAGCCTTGTCCCCCACTGAGCATCTCTGGAAATGAGGCAGCTGTCTCCAGGGCCCTTGGCCCTGGAATGTGACTGGACATCCCAAGTGGACATCACTTAGCTTGAGGTGTGAGAACCAGAACTCAGCTCCAAGAACTTCTCTAAGAACATTGATTTCCTTGGGTGATAGCCTGAATTGCCTGAATCATTCTTTTCCTGGGTCCTTGTGTCTTCCAGCTGGGCCCTCTGCCCGGCGTTCTCCCCTCTATCCTGTAGGGACCGTGGCGCTGTTAATGCAAGACTCTAATTTGGCTGCGTTGGAGGGGGTCTAACTGCCTGCGGCTCTGGGCTGGGAAGGGCTGGGAGCTGTGTGTGTGTGTGTGTGTGTGTGTGTGTGTGTGTGGCGGCTTCCCCAGCCTGAGACCAGAGGGCGGCAGGGGGCAGAAGCTGGCTTCCAGCTTGGGTCTGATTTGGTCCACTCAACCACACCACATTGGTGATGCAATGGAATTGACAGCAAATGGGCCCTTCGGGATATAACTATTTGCTTTTTCCATCTCCACTTACACAGAACTGTTATCCTCCATGAGCCAGTTTAATTTCCCCAAACCACCATAGGAGCCCCCACAACTCATGGCCCCTTCACCTCCCGTGATCTACTTGCTCTGACATTTCCCGGGAAATAATCTGTGTCTGTGTGCGTGTTCGTGTGGTGCGAGCGTGTGTGCGTGCATGAGTGTGGGGGTGGGGGGGATATGGCGGAAAGACCCAGAAGTTGACTTGGACTATGATGTTTATTTTGGGTCTCCCTAGACTTAAATATCTCAAATTACACATTAAGTCGAGTTTCTGCTACACAACTACTTAATTACCCAGCAGTAGGGGAAGCCCAAATAGAAAACCTGAAAGGCAAGGACATCCTCATTGTCAGCCCCACCTTTCAAGCAACCGCAGAAATCCTCCCTGGTTCCCTCCCTTCCCATCTCTGCTTTGAGGTCCAGGAAGGAGAAGCAGCCAGATCCTGGCTGCAGGCCAGGCCACCCTGGACAAGAGTTTCCTCTTTGGGATCCGGAAATGTATTCCCTCCATGTGGGTCCCACATGCAAGAGTTCATGCTGCCTTTCCCAAAGGTATCGGGGGAGTCGTCCAATCTCACAACTTATTTTTTCCATTTCACTTTCTGTAGGCCATGGGGTCAGACCCGCTTTTCCATGTGATGCCTCTGCTGGGGTATAATTTGCAAGCCAGAATTATTGTAATGCTATAGTATTATGCCAAGAACTTCTAGAACACTTGTGTATCTGCTCAACCCCTGCATGCTCTGTATATAATTAACCCTCCCCAGCACCCCTGCAATCTGCTGTTATCCGTAGTTTACAGATGGGGTAACTGGCCTAAGGTAGTAGTTATTCAAAGCAGGCAAAAAAATAAAAATTTAAAAATAAAAAAACACTGGGATGTTTTCTTTTGAGAACTCACAGAAACACACCTTGTAAGACTCAGAGTCAAAAACAATTCAAAAGAAAACAGAAGTTTCCTCAAGACCAGGTTGGAGGGGCTGAGTGTCAAATGGTTTGAGGAGACAGGCCTGTTGGAAGAGAATGGGAGCATTGTGGCTGTGTAGAGTAGGGCAGGTGCTTGTTTCAGAGGGCCAGCATCTCATTTTATGGAGAAAAAAATGAAGAACTGTGGAGGGCCTGGAATGAGTCAAGATATCCAGAGAAGGACCGAGGAGATGATTCAAAAGCACATGCTTTGTAATTGGGGGCCCCAGGTTCAATCTCTAGCACCATGTGGTCCCCAGGCACAGCTAGGAGCACCCCAACACACACACACACACACACACACACACACACACACACACAGAGCATAGCTGAGATCTAAATGTCATCAACCCAACATTACAGCCATCATCATTTTGGCCTTTGCGGATTTTGTTTTGTTTTGAAAGTGTTCTGCTCTCTAAGCCTCTGATTTTCTTATAGGAAGGGTTGGGCATGACCCTGTTTCTGTCCTTCCTGGTATCAGCTTCTCCCTTTAGATGAAGAAACCACCCCCTCCCCTCCCAGGGGCCTGAGCAATAGTACAGTCGGTAGGGCAGGGCGTTTGCCTAGAGCCCAAAGTGAAGAGTAAGCCCTGAGCACCACTGGGTGTAGAAAAAAAAAAAAACACAGACAAAAAAATAGATGAAGAACCCCTTAAGGATGGAGGCACTGCATTGTTTCTCTGCATTTCTTTCTGCTATGTAGAACTTGGCTCCACATGGGTGGGGAACTGGAAGAATGGTGCCATCTACCTAGTAGACATCTGCTTCTTTCAATTCACTCCATCAAATGCCCTTGTCCGTGTGCCACACACCAGGAAACAAAGAGATGATTCAGACAGTAATTCTGATGCTCATCAATAATGTACATTAAAGGCAAAAGAAAAAAAGAAATATAGGATAGAACAAGAGTCCAAGGGCTCTGGTGCCATGGGAAAGGAAGTTGAACTCTGAGGGATGGTAGAATCCAAGGATGTTTTTTTATAGAAGGCCATGTCTAAGCAGGGCCTTGAAGAAGGTTATGGGAATATGGGAAGGATATTTGGAAAGGAGAGATGGACAGGATATTTTATTTGGAAATTTAAGCAAGAACATTCCAGACAGAGGAAATAACCAAACAAAAGCACAGGAGTGGGATATATGTAGTTGGAGTGTTTGAGGGTGAAGAGCTGACTTTGCAAAGGCATCCAGCTGTATCAGGTAGAGAGGTTTGTGCCCCCTCAAGAAAAGCTTTTGTTTGTTTGTTTGGTTAGTCAGTTGGTTGAGGCCACAGTGGCGCTTAGGGCCTATTGGCTCCGTGCTCAGCGATCACTCCTTGGGGTGCTGGGAGGACCATATGCAGGGCCAGGGTTTGAACTGGGTTGACTTTTTTGCAAGGCAAGGCCTTACCCAATGTACTATCTCTCTGGCCCTAAGAGGAGCTTTATCTTTGAAGGTCTTTGAGCAAGGAAATGACCTAATTATTTCTGCATTTTATCAAGGTCATTTGGGAAGCAGTAAGGAGGATGAATTTTATGGGTGAGAGAAAAAGTAGGCAGAATAGTTCAAAGAATATTAAGGGACCAGAAAATAGTGCTTAAAAGAGTAACTGGTACAAGAAGGCACCTGGTATCTAAAACTGTTAAACCTTGGGGCCAGAACCATAATATAGTAGGCAGGTCATTTGCTTTGCACACGGCCAACCCAGGTTATATCCCTAGCATCCCATATGGTACCCCAAGTATTGCCAGAAGTAACCCCTAAGCAATGCCAGATGTGACACCCTCCCTCCTTCCAAGGAAAAAGCTAAAAGTTTTAAGCCTTGGGGCAGAGAAGTGTGTTTGTATAGGGGGAGTCATACCCCACAGTGCTTGAGAAACCTGAGCTGGGAACTGAACAGGGCCTCTTCCGGGTTACCATATGGTCCAAGCCCTTCCAGCTATCTCTGGGGCCCTTTGGGGCCCTTCTTGTGAGTCAACCCCGCAAAACTCCCAGGTCTCTTGACTTTGAACTTTGGGCTATTTGATGGGTGAGGCCAGTTCTGTGTCCATAAGCAAAAATGCTTCAGGAAGGAGAAAGAACATGGGTGGTGAGTGATGGGTGATGGGGGGGGGGGGGGTGAGGAAGAAGCCAGTTGACTTGCCATTGGCCACCTTGCATAAACAAATGCAATACTCAGGGCAGGAGGCAGACTAGGGACAGATTTGAGCATAATTAGTGCTCATAAAGCTCTGAAGCCCAAGACCCCAATCCTCTTCTCTTCTCATTCCTTGCCCATCCCATCCACGAGCCAGGGCTATGCAGACTCCTGCCACTGCTCTCCACGTCCCCAGCCTCCACCT